TTTCTCAGCAATTCCCTCAGCACGCGGCCTTTGATCAACTCTCATACAAAAGCTAAAATGTGTGCCTGCTGCTAGCAAGATGGGGCTGACATTAACATGGCACTCATAAAACAATCAGAGCAGTGAAGCCCTCAAACAGACAGGGCATAGTAATATTTAATAAAAGCGCACACATAATCTTCAGAATTAGCATTTTGTGCCTTGCAGTACCTTTGGGAGAAGAGCTTTTATTTGTGGAGTGATCATTATTATAACAAAGAAGAGCTACCTAATAATTTCCACTTTAACTCCGCAATATGCCACAAGCATTTCTGAACCATTATGCTAAACTGTGGCGGGGTAATCATTTTATTGTCACAGTTTGAAGGAAGAAAAATCCCCTGTATATCAGTATCTCGGGGAGTATGGGAACAGAGGAACACACTGACACACAGAGCACACAAGGCAAAACTTTTCCTTTTTGCTGCGCGTGTGCTGAAGTTGGTACCCACCATGCTTTGTATGGAAGGCAACAAGATTTTAATAATGTATATTCTAAGAAAAGATGATTTCAAAAGAACATTGTTTTCCTTGAAAGTCATTAAGACTTTTGGTCATAAATCTTTAAAATTTATTGATAGAGAGACCTTAGCTTTGAAGTCAGTGGCAAAATTCCCGCTGGCTTCAGTAAGCTTGGCATTGCAGTGCCTGCCTCTAACATCTCTATCTGTTAACTCAGACCACAGGAGCAGCACAATGAAACATGTCAGATGTTAACACGGATTTGCCTTGATATTATGCAAAGAAGGAGAGCAGTTCATTAAGGCTTATAACCGTTAGGCCATTTTGTCAGGTGGAGGAAGCGGCCTCATCACCTTCAGCAAGGAGCTGCAAGGTCCGTGCCTGCAGCTGGAGGGGTAATATTTAGCTTTTCCTCAGTCCAATGACTGTTCTGAAGACATGCAGTGAATGCATTACACTCATGGCAAAGAGTCTTATAATCTTACCTGATAGTTAGGCTACCAAACTCTTTTGGTTCTGGTTGTAGTTGGCTGCCAGCTATTGATTTAAAGAAATGTTTGTATGTGTAATTGTTCTTTTTTTTTCTTCTCTGGACTTAAAGTCTGTTTATATTATCAGTCATGTATATTTCATTGCCTTTATTAGAACTGGCCTAAAGACCTCCACTGCATTTGTTTATCAGTGAAGTTTTAGACCTCGACTAAAATCTCATTTTCTACAGAAACCCCAAAATTTCATGTAACTTTTTTTCTATTTGTTTTAAAAACAACATTTTAGAAATGATGCTTTGGTGTTACAGAAGGGCATGTAAAATGAGAATATTATGAAGCAAAATATTTTGTTTTTCTTGGAAATGTTAAAAAGCGTTATAGTTAATTCCAGATAGAGATTCTGGAACTTTGCATTCTGAAAAAAAAAGATGTTCTGTTTCTCTTGCGACCAAAACAAAATGTAGAAAAATCAAGGTCTCCAATGAAAAGATTATTCTGCCTAGCTCTGTTTTTTTAGGGTTGCACAGAAGTAAACACCTTCCAGACAGTGCTTTGAAAGTTGCCAAATGATTAACAGAAGAAGTATGAAGAGCTGAGGGCCTGAGCTGGCCGGGCATTTGTAGCAGGGACATAAATAGAGCTGAGGTCGTTGCCTTGTCCCCCTCCCAACGTCACCTGTGGTGAATCTGGCAAGAGGGGCCCAATTCTTCCGTCCTTCTTGCTGGTGCTTCAAGGAGAGGACCTGGGAAGGGCAAAGGTTTAGTAAGGGCAGTGTCCCAGATGACCCTGGCTGTTGCAAATACATCATTGTATAAACATGATTTGTGCCCTCACACACAGGTGGCCGTCTGGATGCCTCCCTCAGCACGTCTGCCTTGGGCTGCAGCCCTTCAGCAAAGCTTCCCTTGTGGGGCAGCACCTTTGGGCAGCCCTTGCAGTCTTTACAGACACTTGCGTTTTACGATAAGAGAAACTGTATGGGGAAGGTTGGAAAGTCATGCTGTTTTTAGTGACTGTTCCCGATGGAAAATAATAACCTGAATCTTTGGGGAATGCACAGTGTTCTCACCACTTCGCAGGTATCGCCTGCGACGCTTACCAGCCAGCCCTGCTTATTAAACCACCTGGCATTTTGTCCTCAGAGGAGAGATCCTGGGTTATTGCCAGCAGTTTCGGTGAGGCACTGATTCAGCACAATTGCTGCGTATTTAAATAAAATTACACATGCGAGTGGTCACATTGACTTTGCGGGTGAGAGTGTCACAGTGCAGAAGCCCACAATTCAGCACAAGGACCTCAGTGGCTGCTCCAAGTCCCCCTGGCTTCCCTGAGACTTGACATGTACTTTATATTAAGCACATACATGTATAAAATACCAGAATGAAATACATGAGGCAGCATAGAACCTTGCACTTTGGAGTGCAACGCAGGTACCATAAAGAACATCGCAAGATAAATAGCAAGACCTTTAGTGAGGACCTGTAACTGCAGAACAGTATCTTGCATTCATTTTAAAGATGAATTGAATCTATAATTTTGAAGCCTGCATGTGTTTTCTGTTAATGGCTTATGGTCTCAAACAGTTTTTATTCACTGGTATTTAGGAAAAAAATGTTGCTTGTAGTCTTTACGAAATGTAGCTCATTCTCTGACACATGGGAAACTGATTATCTTTGGGTTTTATTGGGGGGGTGGGGCTGGTGGGTGTCCACACTGGAATACTGGAAAGGTTGTAATTTGGAAGTGGTTTTAATTTTTATGTATGAAAACGTTCAATTCTGTGAAAGGGATAGCTGGCATTTTGAAAAGCTGCTTTCACTCTAAATCTATTGCTGTGAGCTTGGCTGAAAAGAAAGCATTTAGTTTTGGACTTTGCAATGGTTTTTATGCACAGTTTTATGCAAGTAACTTGAATCCAAATTAAACATATTGAAGTTACTTCTGTGTGCGCACTACATTTTCACGATGGTGATGTTAGGATGTTTCTTTTGTTAGCTCATGTAAAAGTTAATGGCTGTGCTCTGCCAAGTTTGGAGTAGGGTAATGATTTTTTTTCTGCCTGTGTGTTTGTGTTTTTCACTGGAGCTGGCATCCCTATCAGCTTAAGTAGTGGAAAAGTTTGTGCCTGGCACTTAACAACCTTTTGTAGGTAGGGACGGGGTCTGTTTGCTCCGCATGCATGTGTTCCATCACTGGTGGGGCAAGTCTGTAGCAGCGCCCAAGGAACACTCACTGCTCAGGCTGACTCAACAACTCCGGTTCCAACTCCCTCGGGCTGCCCAGCTCTGCCTGCCCTGCCCAGGGCTGGGAGGAAGGAGCTTCTCACCAACCTCACCAACTCTCGCAGTCAGCTTCAACTGACCAAAACTTCACTTAAGAGTTGTAAAGATGCACATCATCTCTTTGGCACTTCATGTCTGCAGCATTTTAAAGTAGGTTTTTGTGAACGAGTTAATTTAGTGCCTTTACAACTAAAAGGATATGGGGCTGGGCTGTTACACTGCACAGCCATGCCGAGTAATTCATGGGTGCAAGGGTGTTGTCCTGGATGGTGCTAGCATGTGGGTAGCTTTCACACCCCTGTCTTCCTAGTAAATCCTTGTTTGATGAAGTGCTTGAATGCTTGCCCTTGAGTATGTAATCAAATACTCAAAGTTGCGAACTAAATTAATGTCTCAGCCAGCCTTTCAGGCAGGTAGCGATTCATAGCCAAATGCCAGCAACTGTAAAAGAGATATATACATACAGCTTACAAAGTCCTGCTGATTGACACCTGATTGATGTTCCGAATCAGCGTGGGCAATGGCAGCCCTTCATGTGTTTTCAGTGAGGCCAGCCTCATCTCTCTGCTGAGGACTGGGATTGTATCTTTCTTTTCAACATTGAGGTTGATGTTGGAGTTTTGCTGCTCCTTAAGGCATCTGTTTTTCATGGCTACTGAAATTGTTGAGGTACTCATTTTACTTGAAATGTTATCTAATGGTATGGTATCATATTTTCACCTCATACATTATAAGCAAGGAGAAGTTGGTGGCATTTGAGATGGAGTTGCTTCTTTTCATCAACCTACGTTGCCCCTCTGAGACTCCACAGCTGAGACTTATCCAGGGATTTTTTGTATTATTCAGGTTATTTTCACAGTAATGTTATTCCTCTTGCTTTAGCACAGTTAAATTCTGATTAACTCCAATACTGCAGAGGAGGAGAATCAGTATGTTGATGTTTACATTACCCTACCCCACTAATATGTAAAGTTGAGCATGCTTCTGCTTAGATGGTCTTAAACCAGATCTTACACCGAGATTTGAGTTGAGCAGTGCTTGGGTTTTCAACATCCCCTCAGGAGGTACTTAGTACGTAGGATACCAAGAAATTGGCTAATGAAAGTGAGGCAGAATGTATTGGCCACACTTCTTAATAACTGGAATGTCTAGATGGCAGAGTTTTAGGGTTTAGTTGGTTTGTTTTTGTAGTAGCCAAAGCATTAAGCAGGATAGCATAGTTTAATACTAGAACTACCTGAATCTAATTGCAGAATAGTTAAAAAAATACTGAGGGTTACACCTGCTCTTATTTAGCCAGCACTTTCCATGATCTTTATGGGAGTTTCCCTGATGAATTTGGGTCGTGAATAAATAATAAAGCAAGCTCACTGGAGATCATTTTATTAACTCAGGTATTGCACCTTTCATACAGAGTAAAGATGGGGATTTGCCCTGATTTCCAGTGGGTCTCTCCCCAACATACTGCTATTTTTTTGTTAGTGTAGGCTTACATAAAGTTAATTTTTTACAAAGCAGATCACAAAACTAAACAGGAATTAATTGAGAAAAAATTGCTTCCAGAGATATAGTTTGAGGTCATGCACATATACTAGAAAGAACATGATTGTGTTAGTAAGGGGGGACAATGAAAGCTCCTTTTATTTTATTTTTCTCAAGTCTTCTATCATTAAAATCTGGTTCTAACAGCAGAATACTTCTCTTTTTCATGTGTGTTGAAAAGCAGCTACACCATGTATCAAAGCCATCAGTCCAAGTGAAGGATGGACTACAGGAGGTGCCACTGTCATCATCATAGGAGACAATTTCTTTGATGGGTTACAGGTCATATTCGGCACCATGCTGGTTTGGAGTGAGGTAGGTGTTGTCTGAACGGTAATGTCTAATAGCTTTGTCTAGCTTATAGCTAGCCTGTCCTTTTTCTATGCCACATGCTAAATCAGCAACAAATGTTGAGATGTGAATCCTTCCCTTATTCAGTTTTATGAAATAATTAGTCAAATTTACCTGTGGCAGAAATCTACTATAGCCAGGGGATTTACATCTCCTCTCACTGCCCTAGAATTTAGCTTAGCATCTTTTATTCCAAGAAAAGGGAAGAATAAATGCCTGTGTGAATAATTCTGCATTTAGCACTACAATAGCTAAGGGCCCACAGGAAACAAGCGTTTAGGTGTTCCTGCTTTCCAGGAAAACTGGCTGCTTGTAGCTGCAGTTCAATGAGGTGGAGATTGCAGAAATTCAGCACCTTTGAATAGCTTATCCTTAAAGTGTAAGCACTTGGTGTAAGTATCGTTTTCATAATAGCAACTGAATACACGGTATTGTATCCACAATTGAAAATACAAACTCAACATAGCTAGCAGGGGCCTCTGTAGTTTCACAATAACTCTTTTTTTTGTTTCTTATCCATTTTTTTGCTGTTGCTATTCCTCTCAGTTTCTTAAATCTGCTCTGAAATAAACATGCTAAGAAACTAGCATCCCCAAAATAGCTATACAAGACTTACCCATTGACGTAAGAATCTTCTGATACTTTGCCTTATATCCTATAAATATTAAATCAGCATTATAACTTAATTCGTATCCAGCACATTCTCCCTACTGATTCCACTGCACACATGGCAGCATAGTTTCCATATGAAGAGTATTCTCTAACGTCCTTCATGGGCTTCACTGCTCGCTCGCTCTCTCTCTCTCTCATCCTTCCACTTGAGGACAAGTGTGGATGAAAGGGCATTCCAGAAAAGGAGATATATTAAATAAGCCCTAGTCTGAAGCCCTTATGTGATCATGAAAGTGCCCCCTGGGTCCAGTGTAAGCATTTTGTGTGTTAGGATTGAAGCCATTATGGCTACAGACATTTAAGAGGGAAAGGTGAAGAGGCTGGGAGGAAAGTGCTCTGATTTTGGTACTGCAGAATTGGATCTTTCATTATAAATCTTGATTCTATTTATTAGTGGAAGGCTTTAATTGGCAATTTCTAATCTCAGGAGAGTGAGTGCTGGTCAAAACATTGTTGCTGATGGTTGCAAGGCCTTGTCATAAAATTAATAATGTTAGAGGGGGTCCAGACCAAAGTCAGCCTGTTTGTTGTGAATGCTTTAACAGGCTGCAAGCTTGCTTCAAGTGAAAACTATTTTACTGTCTCTCCTTTACAGAATTGCTTCTCAATTTCATAACCTATGAGAGCAATAGAAGATCCTATAGGAAGGAAGAAATTATTTCTAAAAGGAGGAGGCAGACATGATAAACAAGTGCAGAAATGCATGACCTGTCTGGGTGTTCCCTAAATAATAGTGATCTATAAATAATTAAAACTACATATACTAGCCACATATGAAGTACAAAATAAGTTCTTTTATTTGCCTCCCATTTCTAAAAATGTCTAGGGCATTTTCAGTACCCAAGAAGAATATTTTTGTTTTACATCGAGTGTAGAATTGAACCTTCAAATCAGATCTTCAAACCTGGAGCAGGTTCATTGTGAGTTGCCAGTCAGGCTCAATTTTGAGCAATCTTGGACAGGTTATTTTATCATTGAATTCAAGTAGAATTTTCATCCTGCTGTTTCACAGATCCAAAGAAAACTTGGTTTTAACTGAGCTGTAGAAAATGCAAGCCAAACTAGATAGATGGAGACTAAAGAGTGAGTCTTACAGAGCATTTTCACATGGATTTTTCTGGCTTCACTTTCAGCTGTAATTGCAGGTGGTTTGGGGGATGAAGTCTGATATTTAAATTAAGCATTTTTTGCCACAGACTTTGCATGGGACCTTGGTCAAATCACATAATCTGCTTAAAGTTCAATTCCCTTTCACTAACATAGTAATAACATTATTCACCTTCTTTGGAAAAGTGCTCTGAAGATAATTGTCATAAAAGTCCTATATTACTCAGATTTTATTGTAGAAAATTCCATGTAAGTACCTGAGATGCATGGATACTTAAAATATAAATCCTAGCACAGTTCAGAAGCAAAGTTAAAAGCCACAAAAAAAGACTGTTCATTTTAAGGGTGAAATTGTTGCTGTCATGCAGCATATGTTATAAATAATTTGAAATGTAAATAATATATTTTTAATTTATTTTACATGTATTCAAGTTTTGTAATTGAAATATTTATATGCTTGAAATGGAGTTGACTGTGTTAAAAAAGGAGTATTAAGATGGTTTCTGAAACACGTATTTATTATTTAAACATATATTTTAGCTGTAAACACTCTAACATAATTACAACCTTTCTCAGCCAGGAAGAACTAAATAAAAACTTAATTTGTCACATTAATTTTGTGCAGAAATGCAGATACCCTAAGCCAGTAGGTTCAATTAATCCTTAACTCCCCTATTACTTTATAAAAATGACTTTAAAAGCCCTTGATATTTTTAGAATGCGGCAAAATAGGCCACCTAATGCCTTTTTTCCAAGGGACTTTCATAAAATGGACAAACAAACGGCATTGGTATATTGTGTGCACATGCTGAATCTGGACAGGCAACTCCCAGCAAATAGTCTGTTTGCCAGACAGACTCTGCCTGTCTGTTTGTCCAGTCCACAAACAGACGGAGCTGTTATTTGCAGGTTTTTACCCAGTGCTCTGGGCCTGGGTGCTGTTGCAAATGCTCAAAATCTGAGCTGCTGATAAAAATCTTCTGTTGTTTCTCTCTCTTATTGGGGGGGCTGAAACTCCAAGAGTCAAGTTTCAGGGCAAATACATGATCGTGAAGACAAAATTAGTTTCTTATAAATATTCCACAATATTTGATTAAAATGAACTTTTTTTTTTTTGAACATTTTCCTGCCAAGAACATTCCTTCAGCTGTACAAAGTCAGCTGGAAACAACTTCTTTTTCTTTTATATTAAGAAAAGATGAAGCACTGAAACATCAGTTACATCAGTTCTTTTACCTTTGTACAGCACAAAAACAGGGGATGATTTTCTTGGTTTGGCTTTTTTTTTTAATGCTGCTGAATCAAATTCTGTGACACAGTTTTTTATTTTGCTTTTTATGTTTATTATTGATTTTGGAAGTCTCTGTTTTTGAGTGCTTATTTTGGAGCTTTGACTCATTTTTTAAAAATGAGTAAGCACCCTCTTTTTGAAAACTAAGGCTTATTAAGCAGCATCTGGATGCCCAGAATTGAGCCATGAAAAGTCACTGGTCATTTTTAAAAATACAGGTATCTTAAGGGTCCTGTTCTTGCTGAAAACTGTCATTACCTTCAGTTGGTGGGGTGTTTCTTCATTCCTGTCCTAATGGTCCTCTTCACATAGAGTCCAAGTTAAATTTATGACTGATTGTCACCGTTTCCCTAACCACAAACCAGAGCTCAAGCATGCAAAAATAAACTAGTGACTCAGATTAATGACATCTCCTTATAAAATGTCACTTTTAAAAAAAGAAAGTAACCTGGCACACTGAAGAGTGTGAAATGATGCTGTATCACACAAGAATGTCTAGAATATATTAGCAAACCACAGAAGGAGACTTGTTGTACGGACTCAAACCAAATGTATTCTGGATTTTGAAGGACATGCATCTCCTTTCATTCTGAAGGTCTCTAACCCAGGTTTTAATGCAATCCACAGCATGTCCCAACTAACATGTAAGAGTTTATATCAAATAGCTAGTGTAGTTGTCAAGTATCAGGTCAATTCACATGAAAATCCCTTGGGAGAAAGGGTCCAGCTGTTAGTTTTGTGTCCAGCTCCAGATCTCAGTTAGCCAAATGCTAGAAAGAAAGAGGAAGCTGGATCTGGGATTTTGACTGATGAGTCCATCTCCAAATCACAGGTGAATGCCTTATTCAAGATTTACATTTAAGAAATGTGTTCTGAAATGTACATAACTCAAATTTATAAATTCTTAGTTCTTGGCATGTCATTGCTATGGTTGTTATGATGTCTGATAATGCAGAAGGTAGAAATGGTCCTATGGAGTCAGACATGGAGGTTCATCGAGCTCGTATCTAGTGTTTGGTGCTGGATTACGACAGCTGTATAGAAAAACAACAGGGTAAGCATGTAGTGATGCTTCCCCAGAATACGCTACCAACCTCCAACAGTTTGGGGCTCAGAGACTTCCACAAGGGGTGTCTACTCTTAATATCCCTTGAGTCTAGTAGCTCACCTTTTCCAGATGCTTCATGTGCAAATATGAGGCACACTGTGCCTTGAAGCAGGTACAGGCTATGTTAGTGTGAGAGGAGAAAACATGCTGGGAAAAGATGGAGTGGATTCCCATGGTAAGGCCACAGGTTGACAGGAAAATAGTCCTGGAGTTACTGAATTCAGGGGCAGAATTGCTCTTGCCCTGGGTGGACCTGGAGTATCCAAACTTGTGCAGCATCCCTTGAGTGACTCAGATTGCAAAATAGGGCAATCCAAAGAGCTACTCCTGGTCCATCACATAGATCCTAGCAGTACTAGGGAATCAGAGTTTGAGACTAAACATGAGGTTCAGAGGGCAGGCTCTGAAGTGCAGCAACATTGTTTGTCCCCCAAAGATAATTTCTTGATATGACAGCAATACAGGGGACTACTGGTATGTAACTGAACTAGCCAGTTGTTTTCTCTGTGTGTGACAGCTGAAGGCTGACCCAGAACAAAGGTCCTTCTAGCTCAGCACTGTATTGCTGACAGTGGTCAGTGGCAGATGCTAAGGAGAAAAAGCAAAAGCAAAAGACATATGTATTCTCATGGTATACCTCCCAAGCTTTAGTTCTAGAGAAGAGAGAAGTAAAATATATTCTGAGTATCCTAAACCATAGGACTTCAGACATAATGTTCACCCTTTGGGAATGTGTGGGCGACATTATTGTATATTTGTGGTTTTAAACACAGTTAAACTTATTTACTTCAGAGCACAAAGGAAAACCAAACTGTTTGTGGAGAACAAACCAGGAAACTTGCTTAACTCTCCCCAGCTCTCTGTAACAATGGACCATAAATAGGTCAGACATTTCTTGGGAACCAGGGAAGATGAGTATTGGAAAATGCCACAAATTATGTTTAAAGAACATTAAAGTGGTGACAGACCAGTAAATGCTGGGAAATTCAAAGATGCAACCAGAAGCTGCCTGTGTAGCTCATGCCAGAATGGGGGTGAGGGGTGCAAGGCACATGCTGATGTAGTAAGACTAGCATGTTAACCTTTAATATGAAAAATCTTGGCTGTTTTTACAAATATTTTCCCCCTAAAAATGTCAAGAAACTTTTCTCATCTTGCTAGTTCACCCAGTTAACTAGAACCACTTGAGAATGGGGATTTATCTCAGCTATGTTTGGCTATATAGTTAAACATCTAGTCTAAACTCGTCATCTCAATTCATTGGAGAAAGGTAGATGCTTCCAGGGCCCAGCTCATCCCAATGTGAGAGGTGTCTAAAGCAGTGGAAATAAATTGCCATTTGGCAGTGCTTTCTACCTTCACTGTCTATTAAGGGCAGAGAATTGGCCTAGAATTTAATTTAGGCTTTGGTCAGCCCAACTATAAAAAACTCAATTTAAGTAAAAACAATCCTTGGAAGTTTGTTTGGGGTTTTGTTTTGTTGGATTTTTTTTTTATTTGTGGGTTGTCTTTGGGTTTTTAACCTAGTTGATAGCTTACAAACAAGAAGACATCAATTCCTATATGATCATTTCTAAAATGATATGACTTGTGTGGATCTGAATAACCTTTGGAACATTTGATGCTGGTAGTTTTGGTTTTAATCTTCAACTTAATGTAAAATTAATTTTCTTAATTTAAATACAGGGAAATTCCTACTGTGTATGCCATTTCCCTCAGTAACACAGATGGCTCTCAGACAGACGTTACTTTCCTAATGTGCTTTTTTAGTCCTAAGCCCTAAACAAAAAACTGGTTAAAAGTCTGTTTCTTTGGTAGGACTTTACTACAGTTTTGAAATACTTGGTTCCTGATAAAAATAAGAATAAAATTAGCTTTTTGTTAAAAAAAAAAAAAGGATCGAAATGTATTCCCTAACCCAGGGCACAATTTAACCAACAACATAGAGCAGCTGACTGGCTGTGTAGGGTGCCCATGGCTTTGCTCACTGTCAAGGCTGGTTATGGTCTTGGTCTTATTTGGCTATCTCTAAGTGTGTTAATGTGCCTCAGTCAGTTACAGAAGGATTATCCATGTGCCAGAGGTCTGTCTTATTTGCTGGACACAATGATGTCACCTTTTTAATGTACCTCTTTTTTACTATTCTTGTGTGAGGGAGCATGAGTAAGAAGAGGACAGTTAAGTGATGGGAGGACAATGCTGTAGTTTCTGAGGGCAGCAGAGGTTTGAGTTAACCTGCCTTAAATTAGTGAACTCACACATGGCTCTAATATTAATTTCAGGGACTATATTTTAAACCCAGTCCAGAAACAGCAAAAATGGTCTAGAGCCTGGAAAGTGCAGCACTGACCCACCCCAACATTTTACTCAGCCCCATTAGCAAGGAAAGTAAGTTTCTCTACCTACTACTGTGTAAATCCACATCTGCAGGAGCCCTCTCAGATGTGTGTCAGTCATTGCAGTGAAGTTTAGGTGGTTATATCTGGTATATCTCTTCTGAGTGCTTTGACCATTTTCAAGAAAAATCCAGCATCCTTCCGAAGCCAAGATTTGCATCTTCACAGAGTGAATGAAAAATTAAAACAGTAGCACATGGTGCTTTTGCAGCATACAGATGTCAGCTGAGGACCGGTATATTTAAAAGCCTGCCTGGGCTTGAGCTGTTTGGTGAATCTCAGCCTGGGCTTGTGCTGTGCCATGTTCACACATGTAACTGCGTATCATTTATCAGTCAGATTTGCTGGACACTGTCATGACCCCAGTGTTCATCTGAGAAAACATAGGCATCCTGCTGCTGTAAGCTAAAGTTATTGCATTGAACCAGGGCTAATGCTTATACTAGGAAGCAAGTGCCTGCCATGTATGAAAACACGAATAATGTTGTTAAGACTGAGAAAGAGAATGCTTGTAAATATTGTAGTCACTGGCTTTTGTGTAGGTTACATCATGATTGTATTCAAACATTGACAGGTTAATTACCTGTTTCAGAGCTTGTTTACTGTGATCTGAGAGGAAAGTGTTATTAAAGAAGTGTTCAGCATCTAACAGTGCTTTTTTTTTTTTCCCTTTCTTCGCCCTTCTCAATGTTTTCCTCTAGCTGATTACTCCTCATGCCATCCGCGTACAGACACCTCCCCGACATATCCCAGGAGTTGTAGAAGTCACATTGTCCTACAAGTCTAAGCAATTTTGCAAGGGAACGCCTGGAAGATTCATTTACACAGGTAAGGATGCTTTAGTGCTAGATATAACGTGAAGAAATAGGGCAGGCAATATATCACACTTGCTAGGGCTTCTGCTTTTGTCATTAAAAGCTGTACTGTATTTTATTATTTTAGCTGAGCACGTCATTGAAGTCACCAATTTAAGGTCGGATTTCAGAAATGGATGACCGTAGAGATGCATCTGAAAGCATACCAGTGTGGGATTTTTATTTGCTTGTTTGTCCTCACAGTGGGGCGTCTCTTTACCCGGGATGGGGGAGGAAAGAGAGAAACAGATACACCAGTACTTAATCAGAGAAAGAGTGCAAGCACAGAGAGCCAGACATACTAGGGCAATCATGAGCCCGCCTTCCAAGGAGTGCCTTGCTAAGTATCTCCATCTCACGTTGTCCAGCAAGTGTTGCAAGTGTTCAAAGCAGCAGCCTGTTTGCCTGCCCACCTCACCATGCATACTCACCTCTAGAGCCCAAGTAGCTTCCACCCCTGCCAGTGCTGCAGACCCTGACCCTCAGTGTGTTTTGGGGTGCCATCCCACACTTAGACCACCATGTTGAGTGGTTTCTCCTGAAGAATTATTAACCGAAAAACATGCTAGGACATTGCAGGTGATTTCAGTGTGAAACCACGCTCGGTAGCGATAAGGATAGCTTGGGAAATAAATCAAGTAGCAGCCTAACTTTTAGAAAGAGGGTGTGTCATTGATTCCTTAGAAGGTAGGCGTGCTGCAAGAATTAATGACTTGGTCCAGATTTTGATGTGCTTGTCCTTTTACATGCGTCTTGTTTGGCATACACAGACACGACTACTCCTGTAACCCCCTGAACTGTGGTTCATCACAATCTAGTGCAACTCCTTTCCCCATTTGTGATTGCACCTGAAACTCTAAGAAAAAGTTATATCGTAAATACTTGTGGCTGTGGTGTTCTGGATTACGCTGGGCACATATGTTGCTCCAGTTGTGAATGTACACACGGGCACTCGAGGCAGGGGAGAGACTTCTGTGCTCCAGCTGGGTAGCAAAGCTCTGATTTGATTTTTCTTAACACTAAGCAAGTTGAACAAAGGTGCCTTGTGAAGCTTTGTTGTCTTTTTCTAACATCCTCTCCCCTAGTTGGGATTATTCACTGGGTTTCTTTAAACTGGGTTTAAAGTGTTCATGTACTGCCTTGCTCGCTGAGCAGCAGGCGCCTGTGGAGGCTGTGTGTACTTAGTGTGAGAATGTGTGGGAAATTCATATATTGCACAATAACACACCATATCAAAAAAGTTATCTGGAGTTTGAATGTGTTGAAACAAAAGAAAAAGAAAAAAGTCAAATTGCCAGCTGGTGCAAATTGCTAGTGTATACCACATGAAAGTGTCAGCCAGAGCTCTGGACAGTTTGACCATGAATCCTTTCCCTTCTCACTTTCTTGCTCACAATAATTTGTGCTGTCCCGCCTGTTGTCAAGCCACTGGGGTGACTACATCTTGGGCTGGTGAAATGACAAATTTTCATGTGAAAGAAGACGAAAGGGAAGAAACATACGCCCATCAACTTTGCAAAGAAATTTTGGGGGACTTCATTTTGCAGTTTAAATGTAAAAATGACTTGGACCCATTTTAGCTTTTTTCGCTCAGATCATCATTAATTAGCTTTTCCAGTAAAAAGGAGGGCAGCAGTGCAGCCTGTCTGCCCAGAAGCATATGGCTGAATGTGGAAATAAGGTGTCCCAGTAGGGAGAGTGTTTCCATATATGCATTTTCAGGTTAGTGTTTCAAACATATTATTTTTCATTCAGTAAATGAAAGTTATGAAATATTATGATAAAATCAAAGGTGATCCAATCCATAGACAATTCTCTTACTTATGCATCTTTTATGGAGTTGTGATAGATATAGAAAAGCTATTGTGACTGAAATCGCACCTCACACATTCTGCATTTTCCTTTTAAAGGCAGCCTGAACTTAAATGTGGCTTTTAAAAAGGGACTAAGTGAAACTCAAATAAAAACAATTAATGCATCCTGACCTTCTGAAGTGCCTTCCAGCCCTTTAAACAAAATGCAGGTTCAGTACACGCCTCCCGATTAGTTTTAGTTAATTGAAAATTATAGGATTGACCCAAGAGGAAAATTTTGTTTGCACTCCAATCACTTTTACAAATTAAGGAAAATTACCACAATTTTGTTTAGCTAAGGTTTCACACTGAGTTCACGAAATTAGCTCAGCCATCCCAACAAAGTCAGCACTTTGTTAGTGAGCACTAGAAAAAAACTAATAGTCTATGGTGTGTACAAACGAAGCATAGAAAAAGCTATGATGCTTTAGAGAACTAGGCCAAGTGTTTTTAATTAGGATTATTGGTTCATTGTAAGTTTTGAAGAACAATCAAACTAGCAGATTAGCTGTTTCTTTTAAAGCTAGAATTTCTTGCCATTCATTTTTCCCATGAGAACTTGTTTTAACTCCCACATAGCACTATTTTTTTCTTTTTTCTTTTTTAACAAGGCCTGCAGGAAATGGACCAATTGGAAGTTGGGATACAGTAACATTCCCCAGCATCACTCCAGCCGATGGGAGTTTTTCACAATGTTCTTCAGTGAACTCAGTGTTCTGGAACATATTACAAAACCACAGAGGCCAAATGTTTTCTCAGAGGAGCTTGGCCTCTGTTTTTGGCCGAAAACATTTCAGCATCACTTGCTGCTTATTTACCCTGCTATTAAGAACAAGAAAAGAGGAGAGGAGGAAAAAGGGGAAAAAAAATAAAAGAGAGTGTGTGTGAGAGAGAAAAAGACCTGGGGTTTGTGGGCGGTGCAGGAGTTGATCAAGCGTAGTTTCCTTTCTGGTGAGAATGTCCCTGCTCGTTAATGGTCCCATTTTGTGGTCAGGTCTCATTTAGAAGAAATTATTTTTAATCAGTGTTCAACAAAATATCCCCTCAAGCCACCTGGCTGTAAATTGTTTTTTTCTTACTGTTAAGTACTTAAGTTCTCAGAAGAAAATACCCAGTGACCCATTAATTTTAGCCTTTTTTTCCCCCTTTAACTGCAAATAACTTAGTAACATGAGCTCTGAGTAGTCCATGTGCCATCTAGGAATCAAGGTCACATATATACAGAGAATCCTGGCTTTTGTAAGGATTTTTCAAAGAAATAAACCAGTGTCAACCCTGTGATCACAAGAAAACAAAGTTTTTTTATTTTCCATCTGCAAAGGAAGCCATTAGCATGCACTTAAAGAGCAATTATTTCTTAGATTTTAAGCTTTGACATTCCTGAGAGAATGTTATTAGAAATATAGAAGCCTGAACACATCTTACATGTGTGTTCATTTCGAAATAACATTAAAAGTCCATATCGCACACAGAAATGCCCAAAGATGCTGTTCAGTATTTCCCTGTGGCACCTTTCCTCTGTAAGTCTCTTCTAGTATTGAAGAGCACTGAATGAGTCAAGCTTCATGTCACAGCTTAGGAGCCAGGTGTGTATCCCGACCATTATTTTGTGTGTAGAGAAACTGGGATAAAGGAAGAAGCCTTTAGGTACACAAATCTGTAGGTAGTTTGCCAAGGTGACTCAGGGCATATATGGTTGAGTTAAATAGGGGGTGAGATTTGGCACAAATTTGTGACACCTAGGCAGGCCTTTGAGATTTTTTTTGCTTTGTTTTAATTTTTTAAAAAATGGATGCATCATGAACAGCTGTGTGCTGAACTGCAAGATTTGGGTAGGATTGCATGAATGTAAGTGAAAGGAGAATTTATCTCGCTGCATATTGGAATGGACATATGGAACGTCCATAAAAATGCATTTTGCTGTGTCTGTTGCCACCTGCTTAGTTTAAGGTTTTGTGCTTTTGGTCTCAAACTAAAGTGAAGGGGACTGCATTGGACCCAAAATGCTGTTCCTCTTCTTTAAAAATTGGTTACATGCTTGGATACAAGTTGGAATTTAGAGACTATTTCCATTTGCATTAGCTTTACAGGGAGGCGTCAGGCTAAACCATTTGTGTGCTGACAGGGTACCTAGAGAAAGAGGCAGGTCCCCCCACAGGTTAACAGAGGTTAAACTCTTTGCATGGAGAGTTGTGGACTTGGAACTGCGTTTTCATAGCACCAGGTGTCATCTGGAGTTTGTTATAAGCGATGGGATGTGGTGTGGCTCTAGAAGTGCAACTAACAGGAATGGGTGGATGTAGGGTCAGTGCAGACACAGGGCTTGCTGTGCCTTGTGAATAGCCCAGATGCTGAGTGCTGATCCTCCAGGATAATTCTGACGAAGGCCAAGTAGGACAGAGTGGAGCACTGCCCAGACTGACCAGCATTTGCATGATGCTTTTGGGCCATTGTGGGTAGAGGGATGTAGAAATGCCAGTGCCGCGAAGGTCAAGATATTCACAGAACTTCTGGGAAACTGCCCCTTTCTCTGAAATGTCATAGGACTTCTCTAGAGTGCTTTTTCCTCGCCTCGCTGCTGCAAAGAAGAAATAGCCTCATGTGGAAAAATCCCTGCTCCATCCTCATTTCACCCTCTATTTACTTCTGAAAACATTTGAGTCTGTGTACAAACAGGAAGAGCCTTGCAGATCACAGATGATTTGGGTAACTTTTTGAAAGCCTTGTTTTTAGATGGCCTTATTTTTACGTTTTTATCTTTAAATGGTATAATTTACAGAAGCTCAGATAGTCATCTTCTGAGAACCACTCTCTGTTTATTTCTTAAGTTAGACACCTCCAAGAGGAAGAGACCAAAAGCTACTTGTCACCGTTTAAAATTTTAGTCTGTGGCCCTAGAAGCAAAGCTTTAAGTCTTATACACAGATCTGGTCAGAGTTTGAACCACTTAAAAGGTGATCTCCAGTCCCTAAAGTGTCCAGCCTGGTAAACTTCAGCAATTCCTTTGCTAGAAAACTTTTCTCCTTTTAGGAAGGCACCAATAACTTTGCAAAGTTCAAAAGATGCACAATCAATGAACCTGTCAGTTTTCAGAATTGAGAGCTCTGGCATTTGTAGACTT